GGGGACTGCTCTGCTTCAGTTGCAATTGTGGCAATTTGTGCACTAGCTCCTGGTGCCCTTCATTTTCTATTTTGCGGCCTGTGGCTCCTAGACTCAGAAGAGAAGATGGTGATGTCAGGTGGTAGTGGGGAAATAAAGCTCCCCATAGTCTATAAATTTAGAGTGGAGGCTTTGATTGTATCTTTTGTCTTTATTTGCTTGCTTGCTTTTGTTGACTTTGGGGACTGTGTTTATTTTTTTTAACAGCGCTATTTTCCCCCTCTGTGTGTGTGGGGGGGGCAGGATGCTTTCCCTGTTACACTGATTTTTTTTTTAAAAAACTGTTATTTGGGTAATTAAACTGTTATTTGGTTAATTGCCACCCAGAGTATACCTTTAGTCTAGATGAGCGGGGCAGAAATCTAATAAAATAAAATAAATTAACAATGTACCTCTTCTGTTAAAAGTGTATATATAAGGTAGAAATCTAATAAAATAAAATAAATAATTAACAATGTACCTCTTTTGTTAAAAGTGTATATATAGAACTTTTTATTTGTATTTCTCATGTACTATTGCCTACTTATGGATTACACCTCTTGATTCCCTCTCTGATTTTTTCCAGCAGTTTTTAAGTTTTTTTAGAGCTGATGGACAAGAGCCAGAGAAAACATAAACGGGAGGGGGGGAACTAAACAAAATACTGTGGCATGAAAAACGTGGTTCCTTTTATATTTAATGAAAGGACCGGTACACAAAATACACAAAAACAAAAGAAACTCATCTGCCAAAGAACCTGGAACAAAACAAAGTAAAACTGAAATGAAGTTAGTTTTTTGCTATGCACATCTCTAATCACACACTCTTGATGATGGAAGTCTATGAGGCCAAGTCACTTAGTAACTCAATGCCTACTGCCATTTTAAAATTGTTACAAGCTGTACAGTCAAAATTCCTTCAGCAAACACTTTTGATTCCAGCATGTATTTCAAATGCCTAGTTGAGAAATTTTCCCTCCTTTCTGTGCAGGCTTGGCTTTGGACATTTAATTATGAGTTATAGTAAATCCAAGCTCTTTCTGGCTTGTTTCCTTGAGATCTCCTTTATTCACATGAGAATAGCTGGATGAAAACCATTTGCTCTTTTGTGTGTTCACCACAATAATTATTAAGTGCAGCTCTTAGTAAAACAAGTGATTTAATAAGGCAGTGTTTGCGTGATATTGAACAAAAGTATAACTTTTCCACCATGAGAAAATTGTTCCTTTGAAACAAATTATTTCCCACTCATTCCATAAATACGACAGCATGTTATTTGCAAGATCTAACAATTCTGAAATATAGAAGAACCTTTTCAAATGCACTTTTGGACATTTTGATTGCCTGCTAACAAGAGCTTTTGCAATGCTACTCAATAAAAAATTTCTTAGGATAGTAGACAGATGAGGGTTGAAAGGGCAAAAGGTAAACACCTCCACCCAAAACATCTGTGTCTATCTTTCACTAACTCAAAGTGTTTCTGCTTAAGAGGCTCTCTTTCAGGAAGCATGAAAGAAAAAAGCAAAAGCCTCTTTTATGTTTTCTTTCCATTAAAACACAAACGTTCCATCTGTAACATTTACTTATTTATGTCTTTTTATTATGCTTCTACAGAAATTTGCTGAAGGAGTTGATCATTCCCTTTCTGGTTGCTAACGAGGTTACCTATCTGTCTTGAATCTTTTCCTCTTAGAGATCAAGAAAGCAGGTGACAGCACATTCTGCAAACTGTTTGGCAGCTGCTATCAAAATAAAGTTTGATACAGTGCCCTGAATCATAACTTCTTTTTTAACAGATATTAGTAACTTGAATTTACTTAATTCTATTGTGGTCTGATGTAATTTCTTCCTGATTCTTATCTAATAATTTTATTCTTTGATACTGTGTGGTGAATTTGGTAAGGCATGTGGCTGGATACAAATAATGCAACTTTACTTGAAAGAAATACAAGGTAGAAAGACAGCATCATGCTGCTTGGCAGAAAGGAGTGTGAATAGAAGGTGAATAAGCACCTTCTATTGAGAAAGACTGACAAGAATGAAAAAAGAGTGGGTGGCAGTGCGGGGGGGGAGAGAATACAAACAGCAGAAAGGACAATGAGAACTGGAGATGGGGGAGACAAATATCACTCAGGCGGTTAAAGGGAGACATGGTACAACACAGTTATTAAGGAAAGAATACTTTAGTCCATGGGAGAGAAAGACAATTCAGGTAAGTGGATTGGTGAAGGTCAGGAACAGCACTTTATGGGGATTAAGTCATTTGCAGATAGGTACTTCTGTCAGTATGAAATAACAATGGTTACAACACAGCTATCAACAATTTTAAAAAAGAAAGGAGTGGGTCAGTGTTGGAATTATGATTACAAATAAGATGGCCATTTTGCTTTGCAAGTACTGATAAGTTAGTGTATTTTTGGGGGGGGGGACAGCTGAACACAATTTGAGGATTACCTGATGAGGTTAATGTAAAAGTTTAACAGTTCTGGTGGCCGAACTATTAATACTGACACACAAGAAAAGCAATAACACATTAAGTATTCCAGATTGGAATAATAAAACCAATGAGCTGGTAGTTAAGAATATGATGTGTTGTCTTTTCAGCAAATTTAGAATATGATGTGTTGTCTTTTCAGCAAATCTAAAATTACTTCTTTAAGTGAAAATATGATGGTAATTTTTTTTGAGAGAGAGACTATTATTGTTGCACAGTAGTGCAGCTGTGTCATTGTGCAGCACAGCAAACCAACATTCTAAGGGCAATTTTAATAATGGGACGGCCCAATTTTAAAAATGTAACTTTGAAATTAGATCAGCACCAAATTTGGTACATATGTAACAGACTGTCTGCTCCTCTCCAGTACCAATGGGTACATTTGGAAAAGGATTTTAGAGTTCTGTTTTCTTCTTCTTCTTTTTTAATAAAACTGTCCTCTCCTCTCTGGGAAGAAACAAGTGACCCTAAATTTCCCCTAATTTAAAATAGCTTATATAAACTGAAAAGACCAATCTTGCTTATGTTGAAAAAAATGGATGGTTCTACCTGTTTCTTTGTGGTTTTTTTTTTTTAATTGGGAAAGAATTCAGGCTGCAGAGGCTCAAAATTCAAAAGGGGAAAACAATTACTTTGTTATAAGACTGAGCAGAACAGGATTACTAATGTTCTAAAGTAGATAAAATGTTGCAGCTTTGTGGCCCGGAGGGGAGATGTTTGGAGGGCACTGAAAGGTCAAAGAAAAAGTTAAAAGACAGAGTTCATTTTTAAAAAGTAAAAAAAAAGTGACAGTCCTCCAGAAAGGGACATTTTGCTATGTGTCTTGAGGAAATTGCCATACTATTTTGTAAGGCATATTCAAAGTGCCATATTTTTCTGTTTATAAGACGACCTGATGTATAAGACGAACCCCCATTTCTAACCACCAAATTAGAAAATTTGCATGCCCAGACCCCCTTGATCCTGAAGCCCTTTCATGGCTGTTTCAGGATCAAAGGGGTGCTATCCTGTCGCCCTTTCGTGGCTGCGTTACCAACTTCCTAAGCCCTATGGGGCTTAGGAAATGGGTAAAGCAGCTGTGAAAGGGCGGCACACTCGCACCCCTTTGATCCTGAAGCCCTTTCATGGCTGCTTCAGGATTGAAGGGGTGCGAGCGTGCCACCCTTTCAAGGCTTCTTTACCCTGTGGCTTCGCAAAAGGCAGGGAAAGCGACTGCCTTCCGTGTATAAAACGACCCCAATTTTTTGTCTAAATATTTAAGTAAAAAGGGTCATTTTATACACAGAAAAATACGGTATTTCTGCATAACAAAAGCACAGAACAGTTGTGTTTGTTCCAGCCCTGAGTGATTTCAGTAAACATTCTGAAAGGATTTCTGAGACTAGGCTCCTGACACAGGTCTTCAAAAGGGAAATCAGCTCCTTATTACTATACATTAACTGACACAAAGCAAGAGAAAAATCCCAGAAGCTGACTCATTTTTTCATCAGGTAACAACTTCTCACTGAAACACAAAGCAACTGTCAGGGCTTTTTTTCAACAAGAGTGAATGCTAGTAAGCTCAAGAAGGTATCCTGTAGACCAGGGTTCTCCAAACAATGGTCCGCAGACCACATCCAGCCCACCTTGCCATTTTATCCAGCCCAGTCCCTTCCACCCAGGCAGGCGGGGATGCGTGTGGACATCCACGGGGGCGGCCATCCATGCAGGCGGGGGCGCATGCGGGCTGGCGGATGTCCATGAGGGCAGGAGTGTGGGCGTCCATGCGGGCAGGCGGATGTATGTGTGGGCAGTGGTGTGGGCGAGTGGACGTCCAGGCAGGGGTGCGGGCAGCCGCGCATATGCATGTGCACATTGGCCCTCAAAAATGTGAAAAACATATGATGTCACCCTCAAGCTCAAAAGCTTGGAGACCCCAGCTGTAGACCAATATTTTCCCACCTTGGATAATCCAGATGTTTTCGGATTGCAACTGCATTCCAAGAATAGTTAGGCTATCCAAGGTTGGGAACCACTGCTGTAGACCATCTTGACTGCTGCCACTTGTGTTCTCAACATTTAGGTTGATCTTTGCTATACAAAGCTTGGCATCCTTTTTCCTGCTGGCAATGTGAGCACAATGTTATGCAGCAATATTTTATGGTGTTTTGAACTGTGGATACAGATGGACAATATCCCATGTTCATAAACTGAAGGATTTTTAAAGAATTGGAATTACAACTGTTCTCTGAAATTCTTTCACAAAGATCAGGCTTATAGTAGTATCTTAAATGAAAACAAAATTCAAAATACTTCAGAAGATCTAAAAAAAAAACCCAACCCTTCACATAGCTACAGTAATTTTTCAGCAATGGGTCAGTTTGTTTTGCTATTCTAATTTTATAATGTTTCGCGTTCTCTGTATTAACAGTTCAGAAAATATCAGATGTAAACAGTCAAAAACATTTCTTTATTATATTCTTCATCAAGTTGTTGGAAGAAACACTTACCGCTATTGTTACTCTCAGATTTTTCATCGGTCTGGCATTCTGGAAAGAGCAATAAAATAAGAATGAGGACTTTATAATTGTGCATACTATAGGCATTAGTATTTTAAATCTTACAGAGTGCTACAAACTGGCTTTGGTTTGACTTGCGTCAGTGGGTTGGGAAACTCCCTCTCCTCTGGGGGAGTGGCTCTTCTTACGAAGAGTGGGGTACGTAGGTTGGGCATCTGCCTGGACTCGGATCTCACCATGGAAACCCAGGTGGCATCTGTGGTGTGGGCAGCCCATTTCCATCTTTGGAGGATTGCCCAGCTGCATCCCTATCTAGGGGGCACTCACAAAGCTGATTCATGCCCTCATCATCTCAAGAATAGACTACTGCAGTGCTTTCTACGTGGGACTAACCTTGAGGCTGATGCAGAGACTTCAATTGGCCCAAAATTTGGCAGCCAGACTAATAACTGGGGTGAAGAAATTCCAGCGCATCTCCCCCCCCCTCTGGCCACCCTTCATTGGCTACCAGTTTGTTTCTACATCGACTTCAAGGTTATCATGGTAACATTTAAAGTCGTAAATGGTTCAGGACCTCGGTACCTATCAGAACGCCTACTCCCAGCCAGATCTGTCCATAATACTCATTCTTAACAGACAGGGTGGTTGAAGGGCTTGGAGGGAAAGAGGCCCGGAGGGAAAGAACAAGAAACTGGGCCTTCTCAGCGGTCGCCCCCCACCTATAGAACAACCTGTCCATCAAGATCTTCCTGGGACCCTTGCTGGATGGGTTCAAATGAACATTGAAGACTTGGCTCTTCCACCAGGCTTTCCCGGATCGTTAAGATCTCAGCCTCCCTTTTACCATCCTTTTTGCCATCTTCTGCATCATCCTTTTTACCACCTTCACTGCCATCTGTTTTAATGTAACCCATTTGGCTATGTATTAATTTATTTTTATCGTGTTTTAATATTGTGGCTCATATTGTTGTTAGCCGCTCAGAGTGGTGTGGTTGCCAGATGGTGCGGGGTAGAAATTCAATAAATAAATAAATAATATAGCATAAGCTTTATCAGAAAACAACTCAGTGAAAAAAAGTAATATGTGAAAGTTTGAAGACCTTTCCCAATGTCTTGGACAACTCTTCAAGTACTATCCAGGAATAGGTGGAAAAACAGGTGACTCAGTATCAACACAAGATTTTCCTTGTTTTTCAACAGTGCTGTGGAACTGGCATCAGCTTTTTCTTGCTGATGTGGCTATATAACTTGGTAGCCAGCCATTCATGCTGCATGGACTATCCAACCTTCTCTCAAAGTGTGAAATGATGGAAAAATCAGAACAGTGAATCCATTTTGGAACCTGGCTGAAAATGGGGGCTTTGCTATGATCGCTTCCCCGCGATCATCGCAAAGCGAATTTTTCCCATAGGAAACATCGCAAAAACAGTGTCGCTAAGCGATTTCGCCGTAAAATGGAGCGATTGCTAAGCAAGGCACCACTGTATTTGAGAGAACAAACAGGTAGACTCCTCAGTGATTTAAATTCTGTACCACAACTCAGGGGAAAGGTAAGTTTTAATTTTTAAAAAAGACAACTTACATCGATGAATTAATAAAAGGAAAATGCACATACAATATCTTTTGTGGTCAAAAGACTAAGAGAAACAATGTTATACAGTGTGTGTTATAGCTTGCAAAACTGTCCTACAGTATAAGAGTGCATGTGCAATGGAATACTTAAGTCTCCTGCTCATTTCTTAAACAAGTCCTCCATGCCACGGGAAAAGCTACCTCTAGAAGCACATGCTAACACAGGACGAAAACAGCCAAAGGTGGGGAGAGGAGACACAATGAAAGAGAATTCAGTATAAGCAAATGTTGCATGCTCTTGCAGGACTGGCTTATAATATGGATGAAATTCTAATTTCCACTTTATCCATCTAAAACACATTTTAAATGTTGTATTTTGTGGCAATCAAGTGGGACAGGGCAACAATTTTAATCAATGTAATAGATATTATACAGTATACAGTTATGTTCTAAATGACTTTAGGCTAGAAAAATGGCAAGTCAAATGAATATTATTCAGAACATTCAATGAAAGGAAAGTTAGAGACTCACACTCTAGAATCTGTCATCCTTCCATCTTTTCCAAAAACAATATCTGTATCATCTATTTTCTCTTGACAAGAAAATATATTTCCTTCTTGATCTTTCAGCATGCCTGATCTCTGTTTAAATTTCCCTTCAATTTCTTTCATGTCATGGAAGACATGACATGTTTTCCCTTTTTGTTGGTCTCTTCAATTTTTTTTGCAACTACTATTTTAACAGGATTTTTCTCCCTATGTGCCAGTCAATGAAATGCTGCAGTAGGGATTCTGATACTATTTCTGTCACCTTTTAATTTTGCCTCTTGATTTATCATTAAGAATTTCAAGAACTTCAGCAGTCACTCACTTTTATTTTCTTTTGAATTACTTTTCTTGATATCTCTCTGATTTCAATGCATCGTTTTTCATATCCTGGAGTCAACTTAGTTTAGTAGTACAAACCTATCCTTCACATGATGTTTTAATTCTTCAAGAATGTTATTTAAACTATATTCTAGCACTATGTATGTATGTATGTATGTATGTATGTATGTATGTATGTATGTATGTATGTATGTATGTATGTATGTATGTATGTATGTATGTATTTATTTATTTATTTAGATTTCTATCCCACCCCCGTAGACAGCGTCTACTCGGGGCGGCTTGCAAATATCATAGAATATCATAAAATATAATAAAAACATCATAAGCATTAAACAATTAAATCAATAATATGGTGTGTTCAATATGATTGTACTTCTTCAGTTTTACTTAAAAAAATTTAATGGTTCATGGTATGTATCACACTCTGCTTCTGTTTTTGTTTTGGTGAAGCAAAGAGAGCTTTTCAATTTGTTGCTTTAGCCAACTGGTGACATCTATGTACACGGTCATCTGCTTGAAGCTTGTGTATGCAGTGTACTGTTGCCTTCACAGAATTCTCTGAGCTGCTCTCCTTTCCATTTCTGACTCCTAGCTCAAATTCTCCAATTATTCTGCTTTATTGCCTACTTTTCTGTTCCAGACACCAACACATCCTGATTTAGTGAGTGATTAATGTCCACTTGTATACATGCATAGCCCTCTCCCTGGTGACACTTAGGGGGTAATTAGAGGCATTGCTTTTCAGGGAAGCTTTCCACACCGATGGTAGCTAACCACCCTTCCCCAACTTCCTCCATCCATTCTGGGTTTATATGATTAGTCTGTCCCATCTGTTTTTAGGGTTATTGTTGTTGCTTTTAATGTTTTTATCTCTATTATATATGCCCAGAGTAGTACCCTCAGCACTAATGGGAGCGGGATACAAAATAAATAAACAAATACACAAGCAAGCAAATAATTAAAAGTTTTCTATTTCTTCTTCAGCATCCATACTTAGAGCACAGACCTAAATGATGCTTACCATGAAGTGTAATTGGTATTATTCAGTCAGAATGTGTATTATAGTCTGTGACCAGACTCAACGGAGGCTTGTCACCTTTTAAAACATCTTTCCAGTAACGTGCCTGACACCAGCCATTAACCACACCAGACATGGTGGCTAAAGAGTGAAAATGATAGCTTTTAATTACTTTGGATCATTAGACTGAGAGAGAAAAAACGAGCTCGAGTTTTTACCAATCAAGATAATTCATACCCATAAGTTCTTTATATTTCTCCCTAGTTCTTGATTTGCTCAATTGTATATTCCCCCTTTTTATCATAACCCTTATATTTTATTTGTTTCCCCTTTTTCTCACTCAAAACCTCCGGGCTCCTCCCTTTTCATTACTCCAGCCCTTTCCTCCTTTATGCTCCAGTTTAGGCTGACTACATATACCGCAGATCCAATCAAATTGCTACCATGTTAACAAGAGGGTTGCCAGGGTTCCCTTCACATAGCCCTTAACTGCTTTACTACGTCTCGCCTCATTATGACAGCCACATTTTTTCTTCTTAGTAATTCCCAGAATAAAATACTTTGTAGTTATTTGATTGGAAATGTCCAGTTCAATCCCATTTTAGTTTGCTAACATCATGTATTACAATATTGAAATGTGTCATTTTTTGTTTACCACTTTATTTCTTGTTTCACTGTTTTGAGGTTGCCTTGATTCACACTTCTCATATTCCATGTTCCACATATATGCAACATGCAGCACAGACACAATATATCCTTTCATTTTAAGGATATTTCATCAGGTTTTTTAATTTAAAATTGATAAGCTATTAAAAATAACACAAAGCACAATATAAATTATAATACGATCCTAGTAAACATCTTACTTATGGAGTCTTATGTATTCATATATGTATGTACAGTATTAACATTATCAACTTATCTACCTCTGTCTCTTCCATGGCTCATTAGCCCATTTCTAGGTCTGGCTCCCACCACTTAAACTGACCAGCACTCCCACTTTGTTTCCTCTGGGGTTTTTTTTAAATTGTGTATCAGAGATCAACAAGGAGTGTCATATCTTCATAAAATTATCTTGTTTTCCTCTCTGTATAATCTAACCTGATTGGTCAGCTTCTCCATCAGTGCAACTGCCCATATTCAGGCATCTTTGCAATGTATCTTTGGCCCCATCCCTCCAGAGTGTTATGAGGCAACTGAAGACTTAGTTATTTTTCCAAGCTTTTCAATAGTTTGCCCTAATTAACTAATTTTATGTATCCCTTCTACCACCTGCCTGCCATTAATTTTCCTTTTTTCTTTTCTGATTCATGTAGGTACATTTGGAACCCAATTTTTCCCTGTTGTTTTATTGTTTTTATCATTATCATCATTGTTTATGCCTGTGTGTCCTTTTGTTAGCCACCCAGAGCAGTAGTCCAGCTATAGTTGGATGGGATATAAATGCAGCAGATCCTCAACTTATGGAATTAATCCATATTGGAACTGTGGCCGCAGGTCGAAAATTCCGTAGGTCGAGGGTCCATTTCCCATAGGAATACATTGAAAAC